AGAGAGAGAGAGAGAGAGAGAGAGAGAGAGAGAGAGAGAGAGAGAGAGAGAAAGAGACGACTCCTCCAGACAAAAAGATTAATCGAAAAGAAAACAAGGACGTAAGAATAAAAATCAAATCACGTTTTAACTTTTCCCATCTTCTCAAGTTGAAACGTCGATTGAAAAATTGAACCCATAACTCCTTTGCAGGCGTGTATTGTAGTTAAGATTCACCTTTCTTCTTACACTCATTTTATATTCTGTATATATAGAGTATATTGGCATTCTCATGTCTTTCATAAGGCTAAGCAATCCTAACTACTAGAGACTGAACTATGAAAATGTGGTATAGGAACTTATGATTTTTAAGGTATCTGAATAGAAGAACCTATGAAAGGAATCAGTTCCTCACAATTAGACTGCCAATGATGTTCTTCTAACATCCTCTGTTTAGTGTCTTTATTAAAATGTGATTGATGCCCAAACCTTGCTGTTGTACTGGGATGACCAAGAACACATGCTTGGAGATCACGTTTGTCCTGGCCTTGACGAAACTGCGATAAAATCCTCTCAGTGGATAGGTCCCGGGTTCGAAACCTGACAGCACCGGAACATTTTCTTTCCTTAAAAAAATGTCTCCTTTCACCTCATTTCCATGTTCTTTCGTCTGCTCTCGTTTCCACTTTTCCCCCCATTCCCCTCCCCACCAAATGCCCCTTCCTCTGGGCTCCTGACTCTTTCTAAAGCCTTTTTACTGATACTCCTTGGCTCTTAACTGCTGTCTTTCCGCGATATCCCTGACCATAGGGTAGATATGATCTAACACATAGTCTTCTCTGATTAGGGCAAACAATCTCGGATGTACCGTGTGCAAGTTGCGCTCGTTAAAGATCCCTTGGTGGTCCCAAATCGATAAGAGTAAGCTTCTGCCGCCATCCAGGCAAAATTAATAATTCCTACCAAACGAGAATGTTTAATGTGTTCTGCGCGCTCACATAACCTTATGCAGTTGCGAGTGCCGTAATACACTTACCAAAACAAAAAAACTAAACGTTCTGCCTGTAAAACGTTTGGTCTACCGTTCGAAACATGACGTAAATTAACACTTTGGACGACAGCCGCAAACACAATCCTGCGAATACAAGGTCAAGACCGAGTGGCGGGTCTATAAATTTATTATTAAAGCGATACATCAAATAAGCAAATCTGACCAGACTGGTAACAGTTGCACATGACAGATCCGAGTCTAATCCCCAGCAGCTGTCTTCACTTTGTGAGGCGAAGTCGGTGGAGAAGAACAATCTCGAGATGTACGCACAAGAGCTTTCCACAAAGAAACATTTTCAGGCTGGAAGTCCTTCGTCACACAACGAAACGGACACGAAACCAAGCCTATAAAGTTGGGGGTTTTTGAGTGTGCAAATGTTGTTAATCGTAGTATAGAGCTATTACATGGTAAATGCACATGCCTGTTCTTACAATAATCTGTGGGCGTAGGTTTCGGTAACGTGACAGTTTCGTTGCTGTTTCGTTATTAGTATCATGTCCCTTATGTTATCGTATTGATTCCATGTCGTACTGCTTAAGTATCGTGTCATTCTCGAGTTTTGTATCGTTTTGGATTCAATGTCATTTGATGTAGGCCTACTTTGAGTCTGGAGAGAAAGAACTCGTACGCGCTACAATACAAAGACCTTTTTTAAGGCCGCGTAACACACGAGGAAGTACATGACAATGTGTGCTCTTTTTGCTGAGCAGGAGAAAGTTATAACGTGCTTTTGTGAGCCCTGTTTCAATTCCTTTGGGGTTGTGGGTGGTCACAATGAAAATAAATGTATCTTTTTGTCCCTTGCCCATTTTTATCAATTTGACGCATTATGATAGCGTTAGTTATTACGTATATTGTAACACGATCACAACTAGTATTTTAACAAATCATTTAAATTAGGCTAACATGCTGGTAATTATTTTTCATGTTTCCCTGAAAGGAGTAGGGCGTTAGCGGAAATCGTAACTTTTACAAAGCATATGCCCGTTATTATATACTGCATTTTTTGTGTCCTGGGACCCGTGTGCTGACAACGTTTTCCAAAAAGGCCTGGCCAACGAAATCTCTGGGGTTTTGGGTACCTTGACAGAAGTGTGAGTTTCCATTGCCACCAAACGCCATCAACGTATTCGTATGCTTATACTGCATTATTGGGTTTTTTTTGGTAAGTGTTTTACGGCGCTCGCAAGTGCATAAGGTCATATGAGCACGCAGGACACATTAAAACATTTTTAGGTGGTAGGAAATTTTGAATTTTCCCTGGGTGGCGGCCGAAGCCTACTCTTATCAATTTTAGACCACCAAAGGATCTTTAACGTGCGAAAATTTCACACGGTACCTCCGAGATTTTTCGCCCTTTTCCAAGAAGGCTAGGAGTAGATCTTTCCTACCAGAAGATCAAGGGTGTGGCTGATAGACAGCAGTAAGAAGGAGCCAAGGAGTAGCAGCAGAAAGGCTGCAGAGAGAAAGTCAGGAGCCCAGAGGATGGGGCAAAGGAAGTGAGGGGGTGGGGGCAGAAAGTGGAGACGAAAGCAGACGACAGAACATCGCTAGAGAGCAGGAAAGGAGATGAAAGGAGACAATTTTAGAGAAGAAAATTTTTCGGTCGCTACTTGGATTCGAACCCGGGACCTTTGAATAAGAGGCTATCACCTTAACCTCTAGGCCACGAGAGCCCCCCCCCCCCCCCCTTGCATTATTCAGCGTGGAGTAAAAAAAATGCAAGGAAAACACAGGCTCCTTCAACTTTTCTATGAAATTGTCTTTGAATGACACTATATGTAAATGAATAAAATTACTAAAAGTAAAAAAGGCCCCCACTGCTTGTTGGCACCATAAAGCGCTTCCCGTGGCGCTATTGTTACAGTGTGTTAGGCAAGGACGCTCCTCATTGTTCAACAGTCTTAATGCCACGTACACTTGCCATTGCTCGACTTTACATGGTTGCGACATGGAAATGTAACACTTACAGTTTACAGTGCATAAAAATAAACGACAGTTATGCAGACAATTCTGCCGACCTACCCCCCTCCTTTTTCTCCCTCTCTCGTTTTTTTTCCTTTTTAAAATCCTTCTATCTTCTTGTCTGTCTGTCTGTCTGTCTGTCTGTCTGTCTGCCTGCCTGCCTGCCTGCCTGCCTGCCTGCCTGCCTGCCTGCCTGCCTGTCTGTCTGTCTGTCTGTCTGTCTGTCTGTCTGTCAGTCTGTCTGTCTGTCTGTCTGTCTGTCTGTCTGTCTGTCTGTCTGTCTGTCTATCTGTTTCTCATTCTCTCCCCCTTTCTCTCTATTTCATTCATTTTCTTTACTGCACACAAACACACGGTAAAGATGCATGTAACTTACCCCATCCAATACTATAAAACACCTTATAGTTGGGCTTGCCAGAGAATACGGACACAGCTATCATATTGTGCAAGTACAGTCCCTCTATGAACATCCACATGAACTTGACTGTCTTTGTGTATTCAACCAGGCTGTAGAGAATCTCACAAAAGATGCGCTGAAAAAATAAGAAGAAATGATGATGTAGACGACGATGATAATGATAACAATAATAACAGAAATGATATAATAATAATAATAATAATAATAATAATAATAATAATAATAATAATAATGATGATAATAATAATAGCAAAAATAATAGTAATAGCAATGAAACACATTTACGTAGCCCATCTCTTCGTAAGTGAGTCTGTTGCAGTTCTCGGCAAATGCACACCTTCGTATTTTCTTCGTATTCACGAATACAATGCCTACGTTTTAGTACATTTAAAAAATGGCAACATAAATTCAAATACAGTATGACTCATTTCTCTGTCTGTCTGTCTGTCTGTCTGTCTGTCTGTCTGTCTGTCTGTCTGTCTGTCTTTTTGTTTGTCTGTCTCACTTTTCTTCCTCCCTCTCTTTCTCCCTTTTTCTGCCCCCTCCCTCCCCCCTCCCTCTCTCTCTCTCGTTTATCTCTTGCTCACTTTCTCCCACACCGAAGTAAGTGGTGCAGGGATAAGGTTTTTCACAGTTAAAGAAATGAGTTCGACTTCCGAGTGAGGAAGTCAATATCATAGAGTGTCTGTCTGTTGCCAGGCCGTTTCCTACTCAGCTTGACTTAGACGTGACAGGTGGGTGTCGAAGCAGTACGCTGTTAAAATAATAATTATGACGTCTATTTAGGCTTAAAACATATATTATTAATCTCTTTCCTCTCCGCCTTCTCTCCTCTCCCGCCTCTCTTCTACTGTCTCCCCCTCTCTTTCGCCCCCTTTCTCTTTCTCTCTCTCTTTCTCTCCCCTTCTCCCAACCTCTCTCTCTCTCTCTCTCTCTCTCTCTCTCTCTCTCTCTCTCTCTCTCTCTCTCTCTCTCTCTTCCTAAGCAAGGTGTAGACAAGTAGACACATAAATGTCAACAAGGCTGCTGAGAGGAGCTGGAATTAGAAAATCCTTGGGACCGTTTAGGCCTTGTAAACCAGGGTGCTCATGCATAATATCATAAAAAGATTACATTCGACGTGTTTCCTGACAAGTCATTTCTAATGATGCTGGATGCTATGAACGACTCACCCCCGTGTCTGAGAAAGATGGGTCAAATTCATAATTTCTCCATCTAATTATGTGGCAAAGTAATATTATTATGATGGTTATGAGGTCCACACGAATTGGGTGGGGGAGAACGTGGAGGCTGGCTGCCAAAGGCAGGAAGTGTTCTGTTAGTGTTAGGGGGGAGTACACGGCAGTATATATATATATATATATATATATATTTACACATATGATATAAAAGACGGAAGGATAGATTAGCAGATAGATACATAGAGAGAAAGAGAAACAGGGAATGCCAAGGCTTAAACGCTGCAGGAAGAGAAGTGAAAGAAGAAGAGAATGTATTTATTACCGTATCGTAAATGGTATTGCTGTCGCCGCTTGATGCACCAACGTTCTTCAGACCGTTTTCCCTGGCAACAGTTTGGTCCACAATGAGAATGATCTTCATGGAAATTTGGACAATTATGGCAACGAACAGGTTCTTGTGGATGCGTGTTCGGTGACACTTGAGACTCCTGGGGTAGAAAAAGATGCATACCGTTACCGCAATTATTAGTCTTGGCTACTGTGATGTAACTTTCTGAACGATGCAACACACCATTCCTCTCACCCCCCTCCCCACAACACCCCTCCCCACAAACACCAAAAAAAGAGCCCCAAAACACATAAACAAACTATCAAACAAAAAAAAGCAAAACCAAGAAAAAAATAATCCAAAAACAACTTCGGACCGAGCAAAGGCTTGAACCACCGAACCCGCTATCTCACGATTATAGATCCAGTAGCCTAAAAAACCGACGCCATCTTTCCAAGTATGTACCAAAGACGTTGGTATGTACCAAGCTACTAACAACAAATGGAGAGAGTGTTACAGTATGCCCAGGTCTAGCGTGTTGCTGTAGGATCTGCGAAAGACCTTGGTTTAAAAAAAGAAAAAAAGAATGAAGAATGAAGGGAGTTTATATTATAACGGACACCGAGCGTCTTCGCCTCCACTATTCTTCTCAAAACAACGATTAAGATGACAATATCCTTGGTAAGCACTATCCCACGTCGACAAAAACAACAACACAGACGCCGTTTTATCATCTTTTTATTCGCCATTGGTGACGATATAAATACCACAGTCTCATTAAGAGAAAGTGTGTGTTTGAAGGGACGGTGGGCGTCTCGGTGAGTTAAGATCTTTTCATTGGAATTGCAATACTGAGTACACCCTGTTTACTCGAAATGGATATTCATAATAAATCCGGGCATTGCTTTTTTCCATATCTCGGTAAATCACCATCACAGACGGAAAAAAAATTTCCCTTAGACGTCGTAAAAGTACCATACACCATGAGATCATCCCTCTATTTCCATAGCACGAACGTAGGCAGACGACATTATCACAGTCTTTGCATACTAGAGAATTTCTAAACTCATCTCCAAAGGGTGGGATGATAGACCTATTTCATCATATCATAGCTTTTCTTAAAGGAGTGTTCATTGATTGAGATATTGCGACAGAATGAAACAAAGACCAATAATCAGTTAGGAGACCGATTTTTCCAATAAAGTTAAGAAAACAACAGAATGTAGTTGGCAAGCTCTCGTAGTAATACGTTGCTGTCATTCTTACAGTTGTTGTTGTTTTTGCTGTTATTATTATTGTTGCTGTTATTATTGTTGCCGTTGTTGTTGTTGTTGTTGTTGTTGTTGTTGTTGTTGTTGTTGTTGTTGCCACACGATGTTGTTGCCGTTGTGTTTTTTCTTTTTTAGTTGAATAGTTTCAAGTTGTTCACGGTACTTTATTAGGATTCTACCGACGTCTAAACAGGAGTAGAATAGGACAAGACGTTAAAGAGAGTGTCTCGCCTACGTGTCAATCAATCATCCCTACCCTCCCCCCCCCCCCCCCAGCGAAGTAGGTGACTTGTTGGAACCAGCTAGTGCCACAGCTAGAAGATCTGGTCAGTTTGAGCGCTTAATCGGCTGTTGCCACTGTATGCCTCCCGGGAAGTCGAGAAAGTTTCTGAGGGTACTAAGGTCTGCTGGGGTAACAATAGTAGTTGTAAAGCGCACAGAGCATACCGTAGAGCGTGGATATGCGCTATATAAATGCATTTATTATTATTATTATTATTATTATTATTATTATTATTATTATTATTATTATTATTATCATTATTATTATTATTACTAATATTATTGCTAGAATCTACACCCCGAAAGCTTAAGACTGAACTTCAGTCCAGTTGAATTCCAACATGAGTCGTCGAAAAAAGAAGTGTAGCTGTGGCAGACTTCCAAGAGTTCGAAACATCGCTCTATTATGCTCCAGTTACTGTCTATGGGGAAACAAATTGCTGTAAGGCAACTCTCCCTACCAGTCAGATGCACTTAATAGATCTCAAGGCGCCAATTTGAGCTCCCTCTGAGATGAATAGATTGCCCACTGGATTTTAACCGGAAATGGTTGGTTCGTGCACTTACGAAGCCTTCTGCTGTCAACAGTGGAATTGGTTCTGGAGAGTGCTTTCCTCAACACGTTAGCTTAGACTAGAGCTTCCACACTTAACACGACATGTATTGCACCGCTAATGGACTTTTTGTATTTATTAAGATTTATATCTCTTGGCTCCGACCGAGCAGAGGCTCTCTCCAAGGGTTGTTCTGCAGGTACTTTTCTCTTGAGCTGTTCGTTCCGTTTTCCGATCAGCGCATTTAACAATATCCTAATCAAATAATATTGTTAATGTGTGGACAGAGAAAGCTTTCTTGAATGCTCTATTCATAGAGCTATCCCGAAAGACTGTTCTCAGGTGTATTCTTTCTCTCACCATCCGCCCCCTTAATGTTATTTTTTTTTATGTGTAAGGGAAAATGCGTGAAGGGAAATGAAAAATAATGTTTTTAGGGGGGGGGGGGGGCGTTGAAAAGAGAATTTGGTAGTTACAATGGAAATAAAAAGGTTAAAAAGGAAGGGAGTAGTTTCAGGGGAAAGTTGAAAAGCATGACTAGGAGATATTACAAAAGCTCATTTATCTTACGATTTCTTAAGCCTGTTTGAGCTCAGAAAGTGTATAAGCATTTTTGTGGTCCACAATATTTGTTTACACTCACACAAGGGTTCATCTCAATGAGATGAAATATCTTCATTCTCATATTTTCAATTTCTTCGTGGATTTCCATTGCCACTCAAAGTGAGCTTAAAATGAGTGCTGTCACAGAGAGGTGTGCTTTCCATTAGAAACAACATTAAATATTATTTGCCTTTATATTTTTCAGAGAAAGGATAATGAAATAAGAGACAATTAACACTCAAGATTTTGGTTTTCATCCTCAGATTAAATTAGGAATGTCTGAAAGCTTGACAAATGTAAGTATGGCCGCTAACAGAAGGGCCCAGCTGCATTTTTAAAAACTCAACCATTTTTAAAAAAGATATGTCATGTATGAAAGCATGTTTAAGGGCGTCTGTGGTGTTGCGTTTTGGAGCTTCACAGTCATTCGCAGGAGACCTGAGTTCGATTCCCGAAAGGGAATCTTTAAAAAATCTAGTATCTCAGTCTTTGGGATGGGATATTGTATCACTTTCGGCCTGGGTTGGCCATGTTAGACGGGGTCGGAAACCCACTTCCTATCTAAACTATGCCGATTTTGAGGGGGGGGGGGGGCACCTACATTATTAGAAGACACACCCCAAGACATACGAATAAAAATACAGACAGTGCACAAGAAAAGTCTGGAAATCTTAATGAAGGTATGCAGGTATTACTCGTACATTTAAAAACAACTTTATATACTTCGGATAGCAGATGGTCACTTTGGCAGAGAGACAGTCTGAGTCAAGAGCAACTTCAAGATTCTGTGGACGAGACAGTTTTCGAGAGGGTAGCTCAGTGAAGGAAAGGAAGAGACAGACAAAGAAAGTCATTGTCTTCTTAAAACGTTAACTGCCAATGACACTGATGCTTTACTGCACGCCACAAGAAACTGGGTACCTTGTCAGTCTCCGACTGCAGCAGCTATAGGGACACGCGGCACTTTAAGATGGCTATCAGCGGTAATTTTGTTGAAAGCCACGCTGGTACACACACACACACACACACACACACACACACACACACACACACACACACACACACACACACACACACACACACACACACACACACACATATATATATATAATATATATATATATATATGCGGTTTGTGGGATAGGGCTGCTACTCAAACGAAGCGTTTGAATTTTGAAATCTGTCACGAGCACTTGCATGTTAGGACCTATGGAGAACGAATTATATTATGAACTCTCTCTCTCTCTCTCTCTCTCTCTCTCTCTCTCTCTCTCTCTCTCTCTCTCTCTCTCTCTCTCTCTCTCTCTCTCTCTCTCTTTAACACGGACACACATACACAAACATGTACTCAATGCTTAGTATCTGACATTTGCACAATACTCACCTGAAGTAACAGAAGATGACCAATGAAGTGATGGTTGTGATGAGAGAAATACACAGACCCACCGACTCGAACATGCGCGCATTGGCGACGGTGTTCCTGATGAACTGAAAAGTACAAAAATACAAACACGGTTGCCTTGCACAGTATTGTAAGCTCATGACACCACAGCATAGAATGACAGTTTAAGTGTTTTAGTACAGTGTGGCAATTCGGAGGTTGGTTCCAAGCATTTTGTTGCAACTGTCGCATTTTTGTTCTATCCAGGATCATTTGATTGATATCGGTGCTAGTGTTAGAGAAGGGTAAAAGGTAGTGTTTGTGTTACATAGCCAGTTCATCTTACTGGCACTTCTCATTGCAGTAGGCAGTGCTTCACATGACAGAGTTTTGTAACGGCTGTGAAGTGTTAATTTCTGAATTTTGGCCTATATTCGATTCGATGTCTCCGGCTATTTATGAGGGTTATGATCCTCGTCTTTCAAAACCAGAGCCACAAGGTTTGTAAAAGTAGTGATGAATTTGTTACTATCATTTTAAGAAGAGTCCTCTTCCCAATTCTCTGATCGACTGCGCATGGGTTTTTAGGCTTTTAAGACGTTCCCACGATCAAAGAAATGCCTCGTGATTTGTGAGAAACTGCTAACAGCAGTAACATGTAAACACACATGTTTAGCCTAGAGATGTTAACCTTTTTTGTTGAACACAACAATATTGACCATGGAAATTGTTACAACAGTTACTTGCCATGTTCTTCTCACTGTTTTAATGTTCTGATAAGATAGTGGTAGGGCAAAAAACATTACATTGTCATCACTTAGATACGCCCCCCCTTGTGATATTTCGGTATAACTTTATTAAATTGTAAGAATTCTGATAAAAAAATTATTTTCAAATATAAGTCACTCATTGAGACAGGATGAGAATGAAAGTTGTGTCCTGTCCCTGAGGACAGCCTGAAGGGATCTATCATAGACACTAAATGAAGAAATAAATTAAAACAAATTAACTTAAAAACTAATCTGGAACATAATTCTCAACATATCATCATCATCATCATCATCATCACCATCATCATCATCATCATCATCATCATCATCATCATCATCATCATCATCATCATCATCATCATCATCATCATCTTCACCATCATCATCAACATCAACAACAACAACAAATATCAAATAATTTTTTTTTCCTGTATATTCTTTTCCTTGAAGCATAACAATTACTACACTGTTGACACATAATCTACGTAACTTACAAATATCGGGCACCAAATTAGGACACAGAACAAAGGACGCCCCCCCCACCCCACGGCATGGCAATTATCATCTTATCACATATGCACAATTTCGTCCGTCAGATGATCTTTCCTGTCACTACAACTTCTTTCAAATGCTCCAAACACTATTCTTTAATAGTCATTTATCCAAGAAATGAATTAGAACGTTTCATATAAAGAAATAACCGATAACAAAACAATCACTGAAGATCTAACTTGTTTGGTATTTACATCTGGTCTGCCTTTTTAAAAGTTTCTTCCCTAGTCTTTTCTCTGACTACTGGGGCGAGATTTCATGCAACCTTTTTCTGCTGGTGAGGGTATCAAAAATTAACAGTGCGAAACCCTTCTTACACGCCTTAGAAGCAAATTCTAAAAGAAATTCTGTCTTCAAGTATTAACCTCCTGTTCTGCACGAGTCTTGTTTGACATGAACTTTTGGTAGACTTTGTTGGCTTCCTCTGTGTAGCAGTCCGCGTAGTATGTGTAACCCTCTTTTGAAAACTGTCCATTCCTATTGTCCCACAAACCGTTCGGTCCACACACACGATATGCCTTTTCTGGAAAAAGAAACACCATTACGTGTAATCAATAATGATAAAGAACTATTTAATTAATTGATCAATAGATCAATCAACATTTCAACCAGTCACTCAATAAACCATTTGATCTAACAAGCAATCCATTAGATAAAATTTTGTTATCTAATCAAACAATCAAAACGCTTACCATTTTATCAGCTCAGATCAGTTTCTCAATCAATACAGTAATGTTTATTCAATCAAAAGATCTCATCATCTCTTTATCACTCAATCAGCAAACTTGAAAAGCAATCAAACCATGTTAGACACTACCTTTTCAATCCCAAGAGCCAAGAGCACACACACACACACACACACACACACACACACACACACACACACACACAC